CCCCAAAACCCCAAAACCCCAAATAGTAAGATTTCTTTTCTTAAAGAGAAATTATATTATTAATTAAGCTTAAGATTTAATCAAATTATTAATTTAACTCAATAGATATTCAAAAGCATTTGCTAAATAAGTCTTAAAATTCTATAATCCATTAAACTAAGTGAAATTCCAAATATTTCAAGTCATATTCAAACATATATCTGGTAAACTTCAATCTCTAGCACATGAAAGTTGAAGCTACCTGCTAGATGCTCATATCTATTTTTATCATTTTTGTTCAAGCTATTAAATTAAGAGTATGTTGAACCTAATCTACAGAGACAAGAGTCTTCAACATCACATTCATCATCGATCTGTAAGTCAGTACCCTAAGTCCATCCCTAGTTTTTACCACCTTTCATAGCACATTCTTATTGATCAGCACTTTCATTCTATCTATGGATTGTTTAGTGAGATAGTGAGAAGATAAATGCCTCTTTATCATCTTACCAATAGCTTTCATCTGTCCATTTCTTGGTGACATACCCTCCAAAGACATAGCCTTAATTAGATAGGATAAAGCAGACTGTTGCTTGGTCTTCTTATTAATTGCATCTTTAATGAAAGTCTTATGCTTTGTATCCATCTCTTGATCCTTTGTACTTCAAAGCAAACTTTACATGACTCCCATATTTCTTAAACAAGCATTCTTAATGCAAATACCCAAAGCCTTATTTTTCATTGTCAACAAGTTACCTGAATACTTCATACTTACTTTTCTGACCAAAAGATTGATGAATCGACTATTACAGTTCTTGAGTCTATCTATTCTTATTTCCAACAGCATCTTATGATTTATTCTGAAATTTTTAATCTTGTTACCTAATCCTCTATTCCTCTTAGCAACCTTTTCTTTCCTCATTTTAAATATTAAGCTCGAAGTTTCCTTAATTTACTTGATGTCTAGAGTGGTTTTTAGAAATTAAATTAGATTTGGCACTAGAAATTCTATTGTGATTAACATCTAGCCATTAATGGACAGGAATTGGGACATACTAGCCATTAGTAGATAAAACTATTCTTACGTAGTTAATCATTTGGAGTAGCTGATTGCCATTCAGATGACTTCCTCCAGACTCAATAGACAATAGATCCTGAGTGACTGACTAAATTGAGTTTATACTATCCTAGAGTTAAGGAATAGTTTCTTGCAAATATACTTTAAAGCCTTCTCTTGTGATTCTTTCGTGTTCATTTGATTGATGGTTTGGTGAATTACAATTTATTGGGCATTTTTCACAAAAAAAGTTATTAGTCTGTGTGCAATAAACCTCAACTAACTAATCTTAGTGTAAGTGGCATCTCACTCCTAAGTAATCTTGCTTTGCTAAGTAATCTTGAATATCTTTATCTTCCAAGTCGCTGATGCTTGACTTAATTACTAGTTCCTGATCCTTAGGACACTTGAAGGTAGACTACAGTTTATTATTCATGTGAGAATTTAAGCAATCTAAACACATCTTGTGACAGCATGGAAGTATCATTGGCTTTCTATTACTTGAATTGTAAATGGAGTTGCAACTTTTGCAAAATAAGTGATCCATAAGATATTAATAAAGATCTTTTAAGTTTTAAAATTGATTATAATTAATTAACTCTTATCTATATATTCAAATTATCCTGCCTCTTGGGGTTTTGGGGTTTTGGGG